ATGATGATGAGGAGGAGGATGAGGATGATGATGAGGATGATGATGATGATGTGTACAGACAGTGTAGGATGCTCTGTGCTCAGGTAAATACTCTTATGCATAAGTTTGGTTCTTGTATAAAAGATGTAAAGTTGTTTTTGTTTACATCATATTGTACACAGCTCATCTCTGGATTAATTATGTAAAATCCAGTTTGTAAAGAGCAGGTGTCTACAGTGATGCTTTTCGGTGCTTTTGAGGAGGCCACGATGCATGAGTGAGATGGAGATGTTTGTTACTGCACGAGTGAAAACTCTGAAAACTCTACCGAGAACTTTAATGTGGAGTTTTATCTGCAGACTGAACAAATCAGACAAAATAATGAAATAATGTCACTCACAAATATGAGATTCAGTCCAACATGTGGAGACACTGGTGTGGTTCTTTTAAAACATAAATGTTTGTTTTGTAATGTCATTGTCCTTGTCTGTTTTAAAAATGGACCATGAGTCCAGAGTAAAGATGAATGATGATGATGATGAGGAGGATGATGATGATGATGATGATGAAGGATGATGATGATGAGGAGGAGGATGAGGATGATGATGATGAGGATGATGATGATTGATGAGGATGAGATGAGGAGATGATGAAGATGATGATGATGATGAGGAGAGATGATGAGATGATGAGATGAGGATGATGATGAGGAGGATGAGGATGAGATGATGAGTGATGAGGAATGATGATGATGAGGATGATGATGATGAGGAGGATGATGAGGATGATGATGAGGGATGAGGATGAGGATGATGAGGAGGAGGATGATGATGAGGAGGATGATGATGAGGAGGAGGGATGAGGAGGATGATGATGATGATGAGAGATGATGAGATGATGAGATGAGGAGATGAGGAAGATGATGAAGATGATGAGGATGAGGAGATGATGATGATGATGATGATGATGAGGAGGATGATGATGGAGGAGGATGATGATGATGATGATGATGAGATGATGATGATGAGGATGATGAATGATGGAGGATGAGGATGATTGATGAATGAAGATGATGAGGATGATGAGGATGATGATGAAGATGATGATGAAGATGTTCTTGTGTGGAGAGTGGGATTCGAGCTGATAACCTTTGGATCAGTGGATAAACCATCTGAGCTGCTGTAGATAATCTGAGCCTCCATGTTTGTTCTGTAGAGCAAATGGTGATCATGTTGAATAGTATGAAACTGCATCAGTTACAGCATCAAATTAAGGCCCGTGGGCCGACTCCGGCCCTCCACACCTCTTTGACCGACCCCCAGCCCCTCTGCCCCACACCACCTGAACTGACCCCATTAGGTCATCCTCAAAAGTTCATGACCTATTTCACACTCTCCTCTGGGTCACATAGACCTGAAGAAATTTTTTTTGTTCCCGCTCTCCTGGGGCGGGTCAGTCAGATCCAAAAATGTATTTTGCCTTTTCTCGTCTGGTGAGAAAATACATTTTTGGGTCTGATTGACCCGCCCCAAGAGAGCGGGAACGAAAAAATATTTCTTCAGGTCAATGTGACCCCGAGCCTGAGGGTTAGTGTTTGGCAAATAATAACACATCTGCATATATATATATTTTCATTATTTATATTATTTTATTTGATCATTATTTATATTAAAGTAATTATATGACGTATTTACATTTGCTGCTGAATTTTCGTCACCTGACAAACTCAAGATCAAACAATTCTGTAGTGCAAGTTTCCCAAAGACTGAGTCACAAGAGATAATTTTTTTGGGGTCACATTGTCAGATACAAATGACATTTACACATTTACACATTTACACATTTACACATTTACACATTTACACATTTACACGTACATCTTCAGTATACTTCAGTATCACACACTTCTTTTTACTGGGGTTGGGTCCCTTGTTTTGTTTTGTTTTTAAAGGTTTAATCGCTTGTTTCTGGCAGCTCTCGTCCTGCTCCTGTGTGAGTCTTTAGGTTCATCTGAATCTGATATTTGGAGAATTGTACGTCTGTGTTTGTGGAGAGTCTCTCTAACGCTATTTTGAACTTTCATCGACAATTTGAAACTAAAATAAATCCTCCGTACAAACTTTAAAGAACACTGCGATTGTGCGTCACATTTCAGATCACGTTTGTACAAATCTAAACTCCGGGGGTGAGCGGATTTTGTCATTTGCGAAGAAATTCATTCTTCCAAAACTGCAGACTTTGCGATTCGCCCATTTTCCCCAATCACACTTCCCGTCCTAACGAGAGAACCGCCGCTTTAACGGTTGTGACTTGGCTAAAAAAGTCTTTAAAAGTATTTTTTGAAGAATCAGTGGTTTTCTTTGTCGCCGCAGCAGATCTGGTGTTCATTGGCCTCCCGCCGCGACGCCCAGATGAGGCTCCGTTCACTTTTTACAGGGACGATTTCCTGTAATGGGTGAGTGCTGTGTGCGGCGCAATGAACTCTCTTTTCATTTATTTTTATATTTGTAGCGTAACGGCCGTTGTGGGATTTGTTTAGATATTAAAGAAAACATTCAGAACTCCTGCGTGGATCACTGAGAAATTGAGAGAACGGAGTAAATCCAGAGCGGTGGGCGTGTCCCGCTGAAAACAAGAGAGAAAAAAAAAAAGAATTTGGAAACTGGAATAAATCGGGATTTACTCGAGAATCCAGGAGAATAAAGACACAACTTCAAGTGAGAAAACAACTGGAGAGATCAATCGCAAAACAGATTTCTCTCTTTCTCTCTGTGTGTCTCTTTCTCTCTCTTCTCTCTCTCTCTCTCTCTCTCTCTCTCTCTCTGTCTCTCTGTCTCTCTCTCTCTCTCTCGTCTCTCTCTCTCTCTGTCTCTCTCTCTCTCTCTCTCTCTCTGCTCTCTCTCTCTGTCTCTCTCTCTCTCTCTCTCTCGTCTTCTCTCTCTCTCTCTCTCTTGCTCTCTCTCTCTCTGTCTCTCTCTCTCTCTCTCTCTCTCTCTCTCTCTCTCTCTCTCTCTCTCTCTCTCTCTCTCTCTCTCTCTCTCTCTCACTCTCTCTCTCTCTCTCTCTCTCTCTCTCTCTCTCTCTCTCTCTCCCTCTCTTGTCTCTCTCTCTCTCTCTCGTCTCTCTCTCTCTCTCTCTCTCTCTCTCTCTTGCTCTCTCTCTCTCTCTCTCTCTCTCTCTGTCTCTCTCTCTCTCTCTCTCTCTCTGCTCTCTCTCTCTCTCTTGTCTCTCTCTCTCTCTCTCTCTCTCTCTCTCTCTCTCTCTCTCTCTCTCTCTCTCTCTCTCTCTCTCTCTCTCTCTCTCTCTCTCTCTCGTCTCTCTCTCTCTCTCTCTCTCTCTCTCTCCCTCTCTCGTCTCTCTCTCTCTCTCTCGTTCTCTCTCTCTCTCTCTCTCTGTCTCTCCCTCTCTCTCTCTCTCTCTCTCTCTCCCTCTCTGTCTCTCTCTCTCTCCCTCTCTCTTGTCTCTCTCTCTCTCTCTCTCTCTCTCTCTCTCTCTCTCTCCCTCTCTCGTCTCTCTCTCTCTCCCTCTCTCTCGCTCTCTCTCTCTCTCTCTCTCTCTCTCTCTCTCTCTCTCTCTCTCTCGTCTCTCTCTCTCTCTCTCTCTCTCTCTCTCTCTCGTCTCTCTCTCTCTCTCTCTCTCTCTCTCTCTCTCTCTCTCTCTCTCGTCTCTCTCTCTCCCTCTCTCGTCTCTCTCCCTCTCTTGTCTCTCTCTCGTCTCTCATCTCTCTGTCTCTCTCTCTCCCCCCTCTTGTCTCTCTCCCCCTCTCTTGTCTCTCTCTGTCTCTCTATCTCTCTATCTCTGTCTGTCTCTGTCTCTTTCTCATGTATCTCTTTCTCTCTGTGTGTCTCCCTCCTTCTCTGTGTCTGTGTCTCTCTCACTTTCTGTCTCTTTCCCTTTCTGTCGCTCTCTCTCCCTCTCTCTGTGTCTCTCTCTCTCTCTGTTTCTTGTCTCTGTCTCCATCTCTGTCTGTTTCTCTCTCCCTTACTCTCTCTCACTTTCCCTGTCTTTCCCTCTCTCTATCTGTCTTTCTCCCTTTCTGTCGCTCTCTCTCTCTCTCTCTCTCTCTCTGTGTGTCTCCCTCCCTCTCTGTGCCTCTGTCTCTCTCCCTTTCTCTCTCCCCCTCTCTCTCTCTCCATCTCTGTCTCTCTCCATTTTTCTCCTTCTCTCTGTCTCTTCCTCTCTCTGTCTCTCTCCTCTCTTTGTGCCCCTCTCTCTGTGTGTCTCTGTTTCTCTCTCCCTCTTTGTCTCTCTCCCTCTCTGTCTCTCCCTTTGTGTCTCTCTTTCGCTCTCTCTGTTTCTCTCCATCTCTGTCTCTCCCCTTCTCTCTCTGTCTGTCTGTCTCCCACCTTCCCTCTCAGTGTGTCTTTCTCTGTCTCTTTTTATTTTCTCACTCTCTCTTTGTCTCTCTCCCTCTCTATGTCTCTCTATCTTTGTCTCTCTCTTCCTTTTTTGTCTTTCTGTCTGTCTTTCTCTTTCTCTCCCTCTCTGTGTCTCTTTCTCTTCTGTCTCTTTCATTATCTCTCACTCTGTCTCTCTCTTTCTCTCTCTCTGTCTGTATCAATACTTCTGTAAATCATTCTCTACAAACCATAAACTGCCTCCGTTGACTTTTTTAAATATCACTTTATTTATTTATTTTTTTTTGTGATAAAATTCCTTTAAACACTTCGTGAAACCGTCGTGTATTTAGTCGTTATCGTGAAAACACTTTAATCGCTCGTCCCTCCTCTCTCGTCATCATCTCCACTCCTTCTTTTGTGTTCGGCTTTAAACTCTTTTCTTTCTCACCGCGGGAGGGCGGGTCGCTGACGGCGGGGGGGCGGCGGGGGCGGCAGGGGGCGGCAGGGGGCAGGTCAGGTCCATGTAAATGAATGGGACAGAAGGGGGAGGGGTCAGGGGGTAAAGGGGGCGTGGCCTCTGCTCTCAGACACTTTAAACTTTCCCTCCGGCGCATGTGGGTTTGTGCTGCTGATTCAGAGTTCCTCCCGACGCTGAGTTTCCGTTTCTGTCTCTGTTTTCAGGAACTTTAAGGATTCTAATTTGGGACGTGGACGGAGGATTTGGAAAGTTTGGGGTTGAGATTTGTGTGGACGAGTTTCTGAGACGAACTTTAACGTCACAAAAGAGGTGAGTTTTCTCTTTTTATCAGTTTGGTTTGTTAATTAACTTACATCGATATTTGGATATTTCTGTATCGTATCGATTAATGTCATGATACAGTATCGACCAGAACTAAACCAGATCTAAACCAGATCTAAACCAGGACTGAACCAGGACTGAACCAGGACTGAACCAGGACTGAACCAGGACTAAATCAGGACTAAATCAGGTCTAAATCAGGTCTGAACCAGGACTGAACCAGGACTAAACCAGGACTAAATCAGGACTAAACCAGGTCTAAACTAGAGCTGAACCAGGACTGAACCAGGACTGAACCGGGACTGAACCGGGACTGAACCGGGACTGAACCGGGACTGAACCGGGACTGAACCGGGACCGAACCGGGACCGAACCTGGACTACATCAGGACTAAACCAGGTCTAAACTAGAGCTAAACTTGGACTGAACCAGGACTGAACCAGGACTGAACCTGGACTAAATCTGGACTAAACCAGGTCTAAACTAGAGCTGAACCGGGACTGAACCAGGACTGAACCAGGACTAAACCAGGACTAAACCAGGTCTAAACCAGGACTGAACTGGGACTGAACCAGGACTAAACTAAGACTAAACCAGGACTAAATCAGGTCTAAACCAGGACTAAATCAGGACTGAACCTGGACTATATCAGGACTAAATCAGGACTAAATCAGGTCTAAACTAGAGCTAAACCGGGACTGAACCAGGACTGAACCAGGACTGAACCTGGACTAAATCTGGACTAAATCTGGACTAAACCAGGTCTAAACTAGAGCTAAACTATAGCTAAACCGGGACTGAACCGGGACTGAACCAGGACTAAACCAGGACTAAACCAGGACTAAACCAAGGCTGAAACAGTCTAACCTCTGCACTTCTGAATGTTTTTTAAGAACCCGGATCGATTTGAGCAGAAGAGTCCGATGTATCGTATCGATTAATGTCATGATACAGTATCGATATATTTTGATACAGCAGCCCCCAAATATACCAAAAATAAAAACTGAGTAATTTTTGGTATATTTTACTAAAGTATTTTGTTACAGCTACAGTTTTGTTGCTTGTTTAGTGGAAGGAAACTCATTTTTGCGACACATTTCACATTTTCACTGTTTAGTTGATTAAATCTGGGCTGTGATTCTAAAAGTCTTTTTTAAATCACTTCTTGTGCAAAGTTCATATGAAACACAAACATTTTAGACTTTTTTATTGAACTATATCGTATCAAACTGAAAGTGCGCTGTATCGAGATAAGTATCGTAGATAAAATAAAATAATAATGATAATAAAATAAACTTTAAACATGAAATAAGGGATAGAAAAATAAAAATGTATCGAAAATAAACTATATATCCAGCTGTTCTACAATCTCTGTATTTAAAAGCATACTTATTTACACAAAAAATATCCCAAAATAAGATGTTAAGTTTGAGTTTGGAGATTGTTTGACGCACAAATCGAAATCATAATCCCAGAACTTGACTTTACACAGAAATATCGGTTCCTGGTCTCTGATTTTATAAAATACATTTCCCCAAAAAGTGCGATTTATGTTTTTTTTCTTCTTCATTGCTCATTTTTTGGGCTGGTGCGACTTATAATCTGGAAAATACGGTAATAATAAAGCGTTACTCAAACTGAAAATGAAACAAAACACATCTCCAGGTTTGTTTTTGAGGACGTAACAACATTATAACATGATTTAAAGCTCACAAGAGTCAGTTTTGTGTCATGTAGGAGATTTAAACCGTGAAAACAAAAGTCAGGTGAACTGGAGGAACAATCGTGGCTTTTGCTGTGATGTTAGTTCCGTGTGTGCAGTTGATTTGCTCTTGGCTGTGTTGCTTCATTATCCTTTAGCCTCTGCGCTTGTTGCTTCACTGAACAGGTTTAATATTACATGTGGATTAAGCCGAGCGCGGACGAGCGGACGCACCGACACAACAAGCTCACAGGCCAACGGAGCTTTAACACGCACATTATAATTGGTAATGTTTTGTTGTTGGTTTTTTTTTACACAAACACATGCAGATAAACTGAAGTGGACCTGGCCTCTCTCTCTCTTATTTTTTATTTTTTATTTATAATTTGTCAGATTTGAGGGATTGGACACCCAGCACATCCACAACAAGACAGACTTAACTAAATATAAAACTAACACGCATACAAAAAAAATAAATAAAATAAAATAATAATAATTATTATTAATAATAATGATAAAACTAATAATAAAACTAATAATAATAATAATACTAATAATAATAAAAAATAAATAAATAATAATAATGATACAAATAAAATAATAATAATAATAATAATGATACAAATAAATAATAATAATAATAATAATGATGATACATAATAAATAAATAATAATAATAATAATAATAATAATAATGAATGATGATACAAATAAATAAATAATAATGATAATAATAATGATGATGATAAAATAAATAATAATGATACAAATAAATAAATAATAATGATAATAATAATGATGATGATAAAATAAATAATAATGATACAAATAATAATGATAATAATAATGATGAATAAAATAATAATAATGATAATAATAAATAAATAATAATGATAATAATAATGATGATGAAAAATAATAAATAATAATGATAATATAATATTAATAAATTATTATTTATCATTATTTATGGTGGTGGTTGTTGTTGTTGTTAATAATAATCATATTATTAACTTTTACCTGGAATCCAGAATACACACTTCTTCAGTACTTTCTGAAGATGTGAGTCTGGACACAGATGAGACATGGGGGTGATTGACAGGTGGATTAGCCAATCAGGGACACCCATGGTCTGTCTCAAAACAAATATGACTGCTTTTGAGTGGAAAAAAAAAAGGAAATAAAAATCACAGGGAACTGAAAAACTTCAGCAGATTTCTGTAGAATCAATGAGCGAAACACTGAATTCTTTCACAAAATTGACTCTTGTGAAATTTAAGTCACGTCTGAATGTTGTTACCTCCTCAAAAACAAACCTGGACCTACATCTGCAAAGCTCAAAATGCTCTGTTCCACCTTGTGATGTCATCGTGTGCGGACTCACCTCTTCCCCGTCACAAGCGGCTCCTTTTCATTGTCGTGTTTTTATTGCTGAAAAATGGCTCTTGTGACACTTTTGAACCCAAGTTTGGATCTTTTGTGAACGATTCTGAGCGACTGAGAGCTTTTTGTGAATGAATGAAGTTGAAGTTCTTGTATTTCTGAATGGACTTTGAACCTGTGACCTTGTGGTTCGTGGGTGAACGCGGCGGCAGAGGAAGTGGAGTCTATTTATTTATTTATAAAGTGTGTTTTTCTTTTCTTTCTTATTCTCTTTTTTTTGCGTCAGCAGCATCTTTCGTCCAAAGCCGCACCTCAGCACAAACCCACTCTGCGATTTATGTTCAGTCCTCCTCTGATTTTTTATTTTTTTTATCTGTTCTATCGCTTCTTTGTGTCGTCCAGATGTGCAGAGGAGGGACGAGTGGTGCAGAGACGTGGATTAACCAATCAAATAAACAGATCTGATTGGACGGTCGTGTCTGGGTCAAGGGTTTGGTGACCAGACTGACGTCCCTCGGTGTAAAAAAAGATATAATTCTGGACTTGAAAGACGAACACTTACACTTTTCTTCACGTAGATGTTGTTGCTTTGTCTGTAAAGTTTCACAGTACGGCTTTGAACCTGGCGATATCTGGATATTTTCAATATATCGAGATATTTTTAAAACTTGATATGGATTCTGACATGTCGTAAATATCGATATAATGCGTATATTCAATTCTGATTTTGTTGCTTCGCTTGTTTGCTTCTCTGTGCGCGCCAACGCCTCCCTGATTTTGCTGCTTGTGTCTCATTCACTTCGCACTATTGCCGTGAAAAGCTTCAAGCGCCACGAACCTTTTCCACCATTTACAGACAAAACAATCAGCAGCACATCCTCATGTTCCACCGAGTCGCGTCCTTTAGCCTGAAAGAAGTTGAACCGCATCAGCGACACCAGGAGTGCGCTGTTTATGCAAATGGAACCATGCGCTTTTAAGTTTTGTTTCTGTTAAACGTAAACACATGTGTGCAAAACTGAAACGCATTATAATGTCAAACGGGCTGATGTGGCTCTAGAGTCGTTATGGTTTATGTTATAAAGTTTAGTCATGTAAAGTTTATTTATGCAGAAGATTTTAATCAATAATCTGCTGCAGTCTAACTTCTACAATATTGTTTGGAAACGCTGGGTTTGATCTGCAGTGGATTGTGGGATTAAACCTCAGAGCTCCTTACTGCTGGTGAGGAACATGGATCTGTTAAAATAATGAACCTCCTGATCCTATGGAACTCATGGCAGAAGCACTTTGTCCCTACATGAACTGTCCACCTCTTGCACTTTAATAAAAAAAGACCTTGTGGAATTTGTTATATTTGTTTTTGCAGTAGTTTGTGGGGAGTTATTTTTCCTGTACAGATATCGAGATATAACAAAATATATCGAGATGTATTTTTTGCTCCATATCGCCCAGTCCCACCTGGCGTTTTCATCATTGCCAGTAGCTCCGGTTTGATGATTTAAGTTGTAGTTTTTTTCTATCTCACGTCGAGAGAAGTGGGGAGACGGCGAACCCCCCCGTACCACCCCCTGTAGCGTTTTCAAACTACCCCCTTCAAAAATTAGGTTAGGGTTAGGGGCTGGGGTTAGGGTTGGGGTTGGGGTTAGGGTTAAGGGGGGTAGCTTGAAACGGTTTTCAAATTACCGGGGGGTAATTTGAAACCAGCTTCAAGCTACCCCCCGGTAGTTTGAAACTGGGGGTAGTTTGAAACCTTTACACCCCCACACCCCTGATCATGTGCGATGCGCTGTGCAGTTTGGTTTTATGGGAGGCTTCTGAACACTACTGTTTTATGTGTAACAGCATTATGACTATTCTGTGTAATGTCACAGAATAGTTATAACGCACAGCGGTGTGGACA